AGTTTATCTACATGAATCATGAACGGAAAAAGCAATTGTTCATGTTCTAGAATTTTAAAAATCAGCACAAAAGAAAAGCAGTCAATAGCTACTATTTTCTATTCCTGTTTTCTAAGGCAATTGTCCTTTTAAGGGAATTCTTGAGTAGTGGCTTTAGGAAATCTTAAAATTTAGCCAATAAGAAACAAAACAAAAGACAAGGTTAGATAGAAAAATATTAAAATGAGATAGAATTCATTTTGTGCATAAATAGAATTTTTTAACATGAGTCATATATATTTTGGACAACTCTGAATATGTGCAATTATTATTTACTAAGTGAAAATTAGCTTGGAAAAAAATAATAAAAGCCTATGAGGGTATTCTAGTTAATCCCTGCTGTTTCCAAAGTTACAACCAGGGAATAGTTTAGGTATTAGGACAGATCCAGATTATTCAGTGGGAAAGAAAAAAAAATGGTTAAAAATAGAAAAGAGTTGTAAATTCAGCTTTAAAAATGGTGTTCTTTAACACTGTGATTCTAAGTACACATTCTAAATTTTATTTGAACTAAATCACAGAATACACAGTTGTAATAAGGTTGCCTTCACCCATTCATTTGTTGTTGAATAAATATTTATCACTCTGTGCCAAGTATTATCCTTGGGACACAAAGATGAAAAAAAATATGTGGTACTGTCCTGGAATTTACATTCTATAAAAATACAAATTAATATTGAAACAGACTAAATAAATGACTACTAGAATATTAGGTGGTAAGAAATACTAGTGTTATTTTACAGATCTTTGAGCTAAATATATATACAAATTTGGTAAACTTATTCAGTTCTTTTGTCTTGATGAGAAATACATTTTGCATGAATAAAATTGCTTGAGATAGTCAAGTAAACCATGGAGCAAAAGGAGTAAACACAATACCAACTGAACTCTTCATGTGATTTTGAATAGCAAGAGCTGAATACCCAGGCTTTATAAAATGTCTTCTTTCATTTTATTCTGCCAACAGTTTTAAACTCCACTCTCACTCAACCTAGTAAACTCCTCATTAAGATAGAGCTCATCCATAAACTAGATCATTTACTCTCACTAATTATAACTTTGTAATTTTTAAGGAAATATAATGGAGTAGAGGATCAGTGTTAAGTGATTACCAGTGCATGACTGACTTTTTTTCATTTATTACTAGTTACATATTATTAAAAATCTGCAAATGATTTTTAACTTTGAAAGCATGAAAAAATATTAACAATAGCAGCTAACATTTATTGAGCAGTGGGAAGGGTTTCACATACATTACCAGTATTAATTCCCATAAATATCTTGAGGTGTTAGTACTAATATCCACATTTTATCATGTATATTAGTATGATTTATTTGCACTGTATTTCCCAGATGTGCAATTACTAGGGTAAAAAACTTTATTTTTAAAAAAGATTTATTTACTTATTTTAGAGAGTGTGTGTGTGTGTAAGTTGGGGGGCGGCAAAGGGACAGAGAGAATCTGAAGCAGACTCCCCACTGAGCATGGAGGCCTACCTGGGGCTTGATCTCATAACCCTGAGATCACCACCTCAGCCAAAACCAAGAGTCGCCACTCAATCAACTGAGCCACCTAGGTGCCCCTAGGTTAAAAACTCAAAAATAATGCTCAAAGATCTGTTTTCTTTATATAGCTAACACATTTTAATTATTTTATATTCAATGAAGGTAGAAATCAATCATTTTTAAAAATATCTTCTATAATGGGTAGCATAGGGAATATCGAAGAAATATTAGACTTGGTCCTTACCTTCAAAACATTAATATTTTTCCATGGAATTTTAGGTACAACATGGGCATTTTTTTTTTAAGATTTTATTTATTCACTTGAGAGGAGAGAGAGAGAGAGAGAGCACGAGCAGGAGGGAGGGGCAGAGAGAGAGGGAGAAGCAGACTCCCTACTGAGCAGGGAGCCTGGCGTGAGGCTTGATCCCAGGAACCCAAGACCATGACCCAAAAGCAGAAGGCAGACGCTTAACCGACTAAGCAACCCAGGCACTCCGGGGCATTTCTTTAAATACTATCAAGATGACTCCATCACATGATTAAATTATTTACACTGATTTTTCTGAATGTTTAGAATGTTTCCTCCCCCTCATCCTACCTTTAGTGACATCTAATATCACTAATGAACATTTCCTCATTAACCCAAAATAATTTCTTCTTCTCATTGTTATTGATGACAGTTTTCCTTCTTATCCTAGTTTTCCTATTTATCCATAGCTTAAATAAATCTTTATGTTCCTCCTAGAACTTCTGCTTCTACAACTTTCATATTCATATTCATATTAACAAAGTGAAAGGTAATTCTGATTAGTTATACCAATACTTCCTCTATTTGGTATGCAAATAAATGTTAATTCAAATCATAATAAGAGGCAACCTCCAAAGAAATACCATTTGCCTATTTAATAAATATTTATCAAATACTTGCCCTCATGGCTTTATATTTTTGTGGAATAGACAAGTGAAGCATTATATAGTATATGATAACTGTCTTAAGTATTATGATTGAGATATGTATTATAGGCCACGTGAAACTGGAAGAGAGGCATATAGCTCAATCTAAGGTCAGGAAGGCCTTCTGAACTTATTCAAATTTGAGCTAATATAAGACAGACATTATTATCATTATTATTATTATTTTAAAGAAGAAATGGAGAACATTCTACAGGACAAAAGGGAGACAAATGAGAACAAGACACATTTGAAGAACTGCAAGTTGTTTGGGGTTTAAGATGCCAGAGGTGGAGGGCGCCTGGGTGGCTCAGTTGGTTGGGCAGCTGCCTTCAGCTCCGGTCATGATCCTGGAGTCCCGGGATCGAGTCCCACATCAGGCTCCCTGCTCAGCAGGGAGTTTGCTTCTCCCTCTGACCCTCCTCCCTCTCATGCTCTGTCTCTCATTCTCTCTCTCGCAAATAAACAAAAAAAATCTTTAAAAAAAAAAAAAGATGCCAGAGGTGGAAAATGGAATGAGATGAGGTTGGCAAATGTCCTATTCTAAAGATTATTGTGATCAAACCAAAGAATGAGAACTATGGAATCCACCGAAAAATCAAAATGTATATTTTAGAAACATCACTCCAGCAGCAACAGGGTAGCAGCATTTGGAAAAAAACAGTAAAGGAAGCAAGAAGATGAGTAGGTCAGCATCACCACCCCACGAAAGGAGGCAATCAATAAATATTTGCTAATTAAAGAATAAATTAAGAATAAAGATTTGGTGGTTAAATTGACGAGGGATAGGGAAAGGAATCTAGGATAAATGCCAACTTTCTGTCTTGGGTGACTGTGTGGATAGTATTCTACCACTGTGAGGGGGGGCGCGGTTAGGAACATACCAAGCTACAGGTGCCTGTGAAACTTCCCATGCAAATAAATTCAACATCATAGATGTTGGTCTGGAGCTTAAAATGCACAATTTTGTTATGTATTTCTCCCTTTAAAAAAGCACTTTTCAGGGCACCTGGGTGGCTCAGTTGGTTAAGTGTCTGACTCTTGATTTCAGCTAAGGTCATGACCTCAGGGTTGTGAGACTGAGCCCTACATCAGGCTCTGCACTGGGCATGACACCTGCTTAAGATTCTCTCTCTCCCTCTCCCTCTTCCTCCCTCCCTCTCCAAAACAAAAATAATTAAATAAATAAATTTTTTAAAAAATACTTTTCTGTTTTTTTTTTAATTTCCTAGAGCCAATGTGTTTTACAATATATAATCAGAAAAAAGTTAAAAATTTAAAAGATTTAGGACAAAAATTTATTCCCCGAATTGTTTTAAGTGGGAAACTTTCTCAGTAGTATACTACCTTGACCAAAACCCTTCCTGGCCCAATATACTTATATAATACTATATTACTTATTATAGTGTTGTTTCACCAAATATTTACACATTTGAAAAATGCTAAGAATGCTATGTAATAGCACAAACAAATTTCTACCCCAGTGCTACTCAAATTGAGCAATAAACTTGTAGTGTAAAACTTAGTCATAGCAACAGTGTGTTAGTGTGGACTTGCTTCACATTGGTGAGAATAAGAAGGAAAACTAAATTAGGGGCAGGCAACCAAAGCAAAGGGTCAAGTAATTTGAGACTCTCCTTTACTGTTAGGAAGGGAAAAGAAGATAGAAATTCACCACAAGAGATTATCACATTGAACAAAAAAAAGGTGGTTGGGTGGTGGCCTTAAAAGTAGGTGATGGGGGTGGCAGAGCAAGATGGCGGAGGAGTAGGAGACCTGGATTTCGTCTGGTCTCAGGAATTCAGCTGAATAGGGATCAAACCATTCTGAACACCTACGAACTCAACAGGAGACCGAAGAAGAGAGTACCAACAACTCTGAACAGAGAAGCGACCACTTACTGGAAGGTAGGACGTGCGGAGAAGTGAATCCGAGGTGATATTCGGGAGGATAGACGGCGGGGGAGGGGGCCTCCGTCGGCCGCTTCTGGCAAGTGATAGAGCCACGGAGCACAAAATCGGAACTTTTAGAAGTCGGCTCCGCTAAAGGACATCGCTCCAGTGGCTAAGCGGGGGTGGAACCCTCGCGGGACAGTGTGGTCTCAGGACCCTTGGGGTCACAGAAAGCCCGGGGGTGCCTGAGTGCAGCAGAGCTCCCAGGTATTGGACCGGGGAAGCTGGCTGCAGAGACAGAGCGGAGGTGCAGGCTCTCAGCTTGGGGTTGCCGTAAACTGTGATCTGTGGCCCAGTCGGGCCACTGCTCCTCTAGCACGGACCCAACAAGCGGCAGAGCTGGGGAGACTCCCCTTCCTCCCCCAGGAGGAGAGGCGCGGGAGCGCAACGCAGGGATCTGCTGGGTTTGGAGACTCCACACGGGGTCAAGTGCCAGAGATAGAAACGCTAGGTCACAGGTCAGGTGAGCACGCAGTGCGGCCGGAGACCAGGGAGACGGGAGTGACTGCTTTTCTCTGGGGGTGCACTGAGGAGCAGGGCCCTGAGTTCTCAGCTCCTCCGAGTGGAGATTGGGAGGCCACCATTTTCACCCTGGTCCTCCAAAGCTGTACCAGAGCTTGCAGGGAACAAAAGCTCCTGAGAGCAAACCCAAGCAGCTTGCTTAGCCCAGACCGACAAGGGTGGGGCAATTCCGCCTCGCAAAGACATTTGGGAACCATGGCAACAGGCCCCTCCCCCAGAAGATCAGCACGAACAGCCAGCAAGCCAAGACCAAGTTTACCAATCAAGGAGAACGGGAGAACTCCAGCGCTAGGGGAATACTGCACATAGAATTCATGGCTTTTTTTTAACCATGATTCATTAGTTTTTCAAAGTTAATTTTTTAACTTTTTTTTAATTTTTCTTTTTCCCTTTTTCAACCAACATCTTATCAATCCCTTTTTTTAAAAAAACATTTTTTATTTTTCATTTTTAGAGTCATATTTTATCCCTTCATAGTAGCTACCCTTATTTTTGGCATATATATATAAGTTGTTCTCTCTTAAAATTTTGAGATACAGTTTCTTCTAACAGATCAAAATATACCCGAAATCACTAGTGTATGGCTTTGTTCTAGTCTCCTGCCTGATCACATTCTCTCCCTTTTTTTTTTAAATCTTCTTCTTTCTTTTTTCAAACAACTTCTTATCGTATCAATTCCTTTTATAAAATCTTTTATAATTTTCATCTTTACAGTCATCTTCCATCCCTTCATTGTATCAACCCTTATTTTGTACATATATAAGTCTTTCTTCCTTTAAAATTTTAGGAGGCACTTTTTTCTAACAGACCAAAATATGCCCAAAATCTAGTGTGTGGCACTGATCTATGCACTAGCCTGATCGTATTTGATCATATTCGGGTTTTTTTGTATTGTTCTGTTTTTGTTTTTATCTTTCTTTTTGTTTTTTTTTCTTTCTTTCTTTTCTCTTTCTTTTTTCTTTCTTTCCCTTTCTTTTCCCCTGGTTTCAGGTCTTTTCTGATTTGTATAGAGTATATTTGCTGGGGACGTTGTTAACCTGTTAGCATTTTGTTCTCTCATTCATCTATTCTCCTCTGGACAAAATGACAAGATGAAAAAAATCACCTCAGCAAAAAGAACAAGAGATAGTACCCTCAGCCAGGGACCTACTCAATATGGACATTAGTACGATGTCAGACCTCGAGTTCAGAATCATGACTTTAAAGATACTAGCTGGGCTTGAAAAAAGCGTGGAAGTTATTAGAGAAACCCTTTCTGGAGAAATAAAAGAACTAAATCGAAATCAAAAAGGCTATTAATGAGGTGCAATCAAAAATGGGGGCACTAACTGCTAGGATAAATGAGGCAGAAGAGAGAATTAGCAACATAGAAGACCAAATGATGGAAAATAAAGAGGCTGAGAAAAAGAGAGATAAACAACTACAGGATCACGAGGGCAGAATGAGAGATAAGCGATACGATAAGACAAAACAACATTAGAATAATTGGGATTCCCAGAAGAAGAAGAAGGAGAGAGAGGGGCAGAAGGTATATTGGAGCAAATTATAGCAGAGAACTTCCCTAATGTGGGGAAGGAAACAGGCATCAAAATCCAGGAGGCACAGAGAACCCCTCTCAAAATCAATAAAAATAGGTCAACACCCCGACATCTAATAGTAAAACTTACAAGTCTCAGAGACAAAGAGAAAATCCTGAAAGCAGTTCGGGAGAAGAGATCTGTAACCTACAATGGTAGAAACATTAGACTGGCAAGAGACCTATCCACAGAGACCTGGCAGGCCAGAAAGGACTGGCATGGTATCTTCAGAGCACTAAACGAGAAAAATATGCAGCTAAGAATACTATATCCAGCTAGGCTCTCACTGAAAATTAAAGGAGAGATAAAAAGCTTCCAGGACAAACAAAAACTAAAGGAATTTGCAAACACAAAACCAGCCCTCCAAGAAATATTGAAAGGGGTCCTCTAAGCAAAGAGAGAGCCAAACAGAGCCAAACAGAGACATATACAGTAACAGTCACCTTACAGGCAATACAATGGCACTAAATTCATACCTTTCAATAGTTACCCTGAATGTAAATGGGCTAAATGCCCCAATCAAAAGACACGGGCTATCAGATTGGATTAAAAACCAAGACCCATCAATATGCTGTCTGCAAGAGACTTATTTTAGACCCAAAGACACCCCCAGATTGAAAGTGAGGGGGTGGAAAACCATTTACCATGCTAATGGACACCAAAAGAAAGCTGGGGTGGCAATCCTTATATCAGACAAATTAGATTTTAAAACAAAGACTATAATAAGAGATGAGGAAGGACACTATATCCTACTTAAAGGGTCTATCCAACAAGAAGATCTAACAATTGTAAATATCTATGCCCCGAACATGGGAGCAGCCAATTATATAAGGCAATTAATAACAAAAGCGAAGAAACACATTGACAACAATACAATAATACTGGGGGACTTTAAAACCCCCCTCACTGAAATGGACAGATCATCTAAGCAAAAGATAAACAAGGAAATAAAGACTTTAAATGACACACTGGACCAAATGGACTTCACAGACATATTCAGAACATTCCATCCCAAAGCAACGGAATACACATTCTTCTCTAATGCCCATGGAACAGTCTCCAGAATAGATCACATCCTAGGTCACAAATCAGGTCTCAACCGGTACCAAAAGATTGGGATTATTCCCTGCATATTTTCAGACCACAATGCTTTGAAACTAGAACTCAATCACAAGAGGAAAGTCGGAAAGAACTCAAATACGTGGAGGCTAAAGAGCATCCTACTAAAGAATGGGTCAACCAGGAAATTAAAGAAGAATTAAAAAAATTCATGGAAACCAATGAAAAAGAAAACACAACTGTTCAAAATCTTTGGGATACAGCAAAGGCAGTCCTGAGAGGAAAGTATATAGCAATACAAGCCTTTCTCAAGAAACAAGAAAGGTCTCAAATACACAACCTAACCCTACATCTAAAGGAGCTGGAGAAAAAACAGCAAATAAAGCCTAAACCCAGCAGGAGAAGAGAAATCATAAAGATCAGAACAGAAATCAATGAAATAGAAACCAAAAGAACAGTAGAACAGATCAACGAAACTAGGAGCTGGTTCCTTGAAAGAATTAACAAGATTGATAAACCCCTGGCCAGACTTACCAAAAAGAAAAATGCCCCAAATCAACAAAATCATGAATGAAAGAGGAGAGATCACAACCAACACCAAAGAAATACAAACAATTATAAGAACATATTACGAGCAACTCTATGCCAGCAAATTAGATAACCTGGAAGAAATGGGTCCATTCCTAGAGATGTATCAACTACCAAAATTGAACCAGGAAGAAATAGAAAACATGAACAGACCTATAACCACTAAGGAAATTGAAGCAGTCATCAAAAATCTCCCAAGAAACAAAAGCCCAGGGCCAGATGGCTTCCCGGGGGAATTCTATCAGACATTTAAAGAAGAATTAATACCTATTCTCCTGAAACTGTTCCAAAAAATAGAAATGGAAGGAAAACTTCCAAACTCATTTTATGAGGCCACCATTACCTTGATCCCAAAACCAGACAAAGAGCCCATCAAAAAGGAGAATTACAGACCAATATCCTTGATGAACATGGATGCCAAAAATTCTCACCAAAATACTAGCCAATAGGATCCAACAGTACATTAAAAGGATTATTCACCATGACCAAGAGGGATTTATCCCTGGGCTGCAAGGCTGGTTCAACATCTGCAAATCAATCAACGTGATACAATACCTTAACAAAAGAAAGAACAAGAATCATATGATCCTCTCAATAGATGCAGAAAAAGCATTTGACAAAGTACAGCATCCTTTCTTGATCAAAACTCTTCAGAGTATAGGGATAGAGGGTACATACCTCAATATCATAAAAGCCATCTACGAAAAACCTACAGCGAATATCATTCTCAATGGGGAAAAGCTGAGAGCTTTTCCCCTAAGGTCAGGAACGCGGCAGGGATGTCCACTCTCACCACTGCTATTCAACATAGTATTAGAAGTCCTAGCCACAGCAATCAGACAACAAAAAGAAATCAAAGGCATCCAAATCGGCAAAGAGGAAGTCAAACTCTCACTCTTTGCAGATGATATGATACTTTATGTGGAAAACCCAAAAGACTCCATCCCAAAACTGCTAGAACTCATACAGGAATTCAGTCAAGTAGCAGGATATAAAATCAATGCACAGAAATCAGTGGCATTCCTATACACCAACAAGACAGAAGAGAGACAAATCAAGGAGTCGATCCCACTTACAATTGCACCCAAAACCATAAGATACCTAGGAATAAATCTAACCAAAGAGGCAAAGGATCTGTACTCAGAAAACTATAAAATACTCATGAAAGAAATTGAAGAAGACACAAAGAAATGGAAAAACGTTCCATGCTCATGGATTGGAAGAACAAACATTGTGAAGATGTCAATGCTACCTAGAGCAATCTACACATTCAATGCAATCCCCATCAAAATACCATCCATTTTTTTCAAAGAAATGGAACAAATAATCCTAAAATTTGTATGGAACCAGAAGAGACCCTGAATAGCCACAGCATTGTTGAAAAAGAAAAGTAAAGCTGGCGGCATCACAATTCCGGACTTCTAGCTCTATTACAAAGCTGTCATCATCAAGACAGTATGGTACTGGCACAAAAACAGACACATAGATCAGTGGAACAGAATCGAGAGCCCAGAAATGGACCCTCAACTCTATGGTCAACAATCTTTGACAACACAGGAAAGAATGTCCAATGGAAAAAAGACAGTCTCTTCAACAAATGGTGTTGGGAAAATTGGACAGCCACATGCAGAAGAATGAAGCTGGACCATTTCCTTACACCACACACAAAAATAGACTCCAAATGGTTGAAAGACCTAAACGTGAGACAGGAGTCCATCCAAATCCTAAAGAAGAACACAGGCAGCAACCTCTTTGACCTCAGCCGCAGCAACTTCTTCCTAGAAACATCGCCAAAGGCAAGGGAAGCCAGGGCAAAAATGAACTCTTGGGATTTCATCAAGATAAAAAGCTTTTTTTTTTTTTTTAAAGATTTTATTTATTTATTTGAGAGAGAGAATGAGATAGAGATGGAGAGCACATGAGAGGGGGGAGGGTCAGAGGGAGAAGCAGACCCCCTGCTGAGCAGGGAGCCCGATGCGGGACTCGATCCCGGGACTCCAGGATCATGACCCGAGCCGAAGGCAGTTGCTTAACCAACTGAGCCACCCGGGAGCCCAAGATAAAAAGCGTTTGCACAGCAAAAGAAACACTCCATAAAACCAAAAGACAATCGACAGAATGGGAGAAGATATTTGCAAATGACATATCAGATAAAGGGCTAGTATCCAAAATCTATAAAGAACTTATCAAACTCAACACCCAAAGAACAAATAATCCAATCAAGAAATGGGCAGAAGACAGGAACAGACATTTTTCCAAAGAAGACATCCAAATGGCCAACAGACACATGAAAAAGTGCTCAACATCGCTCGGCATCAGGGAAATCCAAATCAAAACCTCAATGAGATACCACCTCACACCAGTCAGAATGGCTAAAATTAACAAGTCAGGGAACGACAGATGTTGGCGGGGATGTGGAGAAAGGGGAACCCTCCTACACTGTTGGTGGGAATGCAAGCTGGTGCAGAGGTTCCTCAAACAGTTGAAAATAGAGCTACCATATGATCCAGCCATTGCACTACTGGGTATTTACCACAAAGATACAAATGTAGGGACCCGAAGGGGTACGTGCACCCCAATGTTTATAGCAGCAATGTCCACAATAGCCAAACTGTGGAAAGAGCCAAGATGTCCATCGACAGATGAATGGATAAAGAAGAGGTGGTATATATACACAATGGAATATTATGCAGCCATCAAAAGGAATGAGATCTTGTCATTTGCAACGACGTGGATGGAACTGGAGGGTGTTATGCTGAGTGAAATAAGTCAGAGAAAGACATGTATCATATGACCTCACTGATATGAGGAATTCTTAATCTCAGGAAACAAACTGAGTGTTGCTGGAGTGATAGGGGGGTGGGAGGGATGGGGTGGCTGGGTGATAGACATTGGGTAGGTATGTGCTATGGTGAGTGCTGTGAATTGTGCAAGACTGTTGAATCACAGATCTGTACTTCTGAAACAAATAATGCAACATATGTTAAGAAAAAAGAAAATGATAGCAGAAGGGGAAGAATGAAGGGGAGAAGGTCGGAGGGGGAGACGAACCATGAGAGACGATGGACTCTGAAAAACAAACTGAGGGTTCTAGAGGGGAGGGGGGGGATGGGTTAGCCTGGTGATGGGTATTAAAGAGGGCATATTCTGCGTGGAGCACTGGGTGTTATGCACAAACAATGAATCATGGAACACTACATCAAGAACTAATGATGCAATTGTATGGTGATTAACATAACAATAAAAATCTGCTCTGAAAAAAAAGAGTAGGTGATGTTTTCCTTTTGAGAAAGTCTGTAGCTGAGTTAAAAGAGGAAAAAAATAAACTGCCTAGAGCTAGAACATATCTGCAAATCTTGCAGCATCCTTCATTGTTCTCTCTAAAGCATAACAAGATTCATTACAGGTCTATCTCATTTTAAGATGGTCTAAGATAGTAACCGTTCAACTTCCTGGCAGAGATCAAGGTTCAAAAGATGTCACTTTTCTCACAGGCTCAGGTCCATAAATATTTGATTTATGGATACAACTAATGGATTTAATAACATGATTTTTAATCCCATGGTACATCACAATGGGGAAAGGAGGGGCTACTTGAAGAAGAAAAGTAGACATTGAGTACTCTGTTCCCAGGAACTCGACACCTCCCTCTTAATAATTAGTAAACCTTAGTGGCTTAATGATCAAGTTGCTCCCAATTTTTTTAAAAAAGTCTCTCAACCATCAGCCCTTTCTAGTTTGGCCACAGACTCTCTTAATCCTCACAAGAAAACAACTTTAAAACATAGTAGTCCACAATTTCTCACCTACCATTTATCCTTCAACTCATTGCACTGTTTTTATTTCCACCTTTATCAAGTCCCCTTACCAAAACTGCTCTCACTGAGGTCACCATTGTATAGTCTAGATGGCAAGTATACTAGATACCTTTCAGCTCTTACCATACTTGACCTCTGTATTAATAAATGTAATTAGCCCTTCCTTCCTTGAAATTCTTTTGCCCCTTCCAGGACAATAGTACCGCCTGGTTCTCCTATCTCTTTGATAGATCTGTCTTGGTCTCATTTCATGATAACTATTCATCCCTCTACCTCTTAAATATTAACATTCCCTAGAACTCCATCATAAGTCCTAAATTTGCTCTTCCTGGAAGAATTCATCTACTCTCCTGGCTTAACCTAATACAGAAATGCAGATAATCCTCAGATATGTAGCTTGACTACTGGGTATTTTCACCCTAATGACCTGAGACATTCCTCTCACACACTTATACAAAAAATGGAATTAAGTAGCTGTATATCTATGTTATGTTCATCTTTCATCTCTGAAACAGCAGTTTTTAGCATGGGTGGGACTTAACACATGTTGTAAATGAATGAATGAATGAATGAGTCATAATAATTGGCAGTGTATTTGTAGAGGCAGAAATATCTATATTTTTTAATTATAGAAATAGTATTTTTAATCTATGTGTTTTATCTATATGTCTTTCTATGTATCTATACATATATCTATCCATATTTCATTTACCTATGGAAGTGTTTAAGCCATCTCCCCAAACTTTGGTGGCTTAAAACAACAAATTACTATCTCTCACACTTCTGTGGGTTGACTGGACTCAGCAGGGTGGTTCATTACAGTTAGATGGTGGCTGGGGCTGAAGTCATTTGAGTGCTTGAACTGGGCTGGACATCCAAAATGGTTTCTTCACTTGCATGTTTGGTATTTCAGTTGAGAAAACAAGAACAATTGGAGGTTGGCCAGACATAACTCTCTCCCAAAGTGTCCAGTCCACCTAGCTAGTTTGGAGTTCCTCTCAGCATAGCAATCTCAGGGTGACTGGATTTTTTTACATGGCAGCTGGCTTTCCCCTGAGCATGCTGTATAAGAGGGCCAGGTAGATGATAAGAGGAACTTGATGACTTAGCTTCAGAAGTTACAAAGTGTCACTCCCACACTCAATTCTATAGTTAAAAGTAATTTACAGGGCTAGCCCAGATGTAAGAGAGGACTACCAAAGGGAATGAATAATAGGAAGCATGGTTCATTGGGAGACAATCTTTGGAGACTAGCTACCACACTGATCAATAAATCATAAAGTTGGAAAGCATTTATTTTCTTACTAATCTAACATACTTACTGTAATTTTTACATTACCTTCCAATATTTTACATATACCCATATGTGAAAGGCACAAACCTTAAATTGTATAATTCAATGCATTTTGATAAATATATACACCCAGGTAACCCAAGATCCAGAACATTTGCATCACTCCCTTGAGTTTTCTCATGCCTCTTTTCAATCAATCCCCAAACCCACAGGTTATCACCATCACACAAGATTGGTTTTGCCTCTTCTAGAATTTCACATAAATGGACTTCTTGCATTTAGCATAATGGTTTTGAAATACATCCATGATGTTGAACATAACAACTGTTCATTTTTATTGAAGGGCATTCCATCCATGAATATATAGCTGACCCTTGAGCAACATGAGTTTGAACTGTGCAGGTCCACTTACCCTAGATTTTTTTCAATACATACAGTAAAGTCCTATAAATAAATGCATTTTCCTTATGACTTTCCTAATATTTTCTTTTTTCTAGCTTACTTTATTATAAGAATACAGTATATAATACACATAAAACAAGTGTTAATCGACTGTTTATGTTATCAGTAAGGCCTTTGGTTAACAGTAGACTATTAGTAGTTAAGTTTATGGGGAGTCAAAAGTTACAAATGGATTTTCGACTATCCCAGGAGTTGACACCCCCCACCCCCATGTTGTTCAAGGGTCAACTGTACCACAGTTTATTTAGCCACTGCCCTATTGATGTATACTGAAGCTGTTTGCAGTTTAGGGCTATTATGAAGAAAAATGCTATGAGTATTTTTGTACAAATCTTTTTGTGGACATGTGTTTTCATTTCTTTTGGATAAATATTAAGAAGTAGTATTGCTGGGTCAGAGGTAGTATATGCTTAGTGTTATAAGAAATTCCCCAAGTGATTGTACCATTCATTATACACTCTACCAATAATGGATGAGAGTTCCAGGTAGTGCACTTGCCAATATTTAGTATTGCCAGTCTTAAACTATAACCATTCTAATGGGTGTGGAATTATAATCTCATTGTGATTTTAATCTGCTTTTCCCTAATCACAAGTGATGCTGAGAACATTTTCATGTGGTTATTGGCCAGTGATATAGCTTTCTTTGGGGACCACATATTCAATTTCTTGCCCATTTTCTTAAAAAATAGGGTTGGGGTACCTGCCTGGCTCAGTCAGTAGAGCATGCAACTCTTAATCTTGGGGTTGTAAATTCAAGCCCCATGTTGCGTGTAGAGATTACTTAATAAAATCTTAAAAAAAATTTTTTTAAATAGGGTTGTGCTTTCACTATTGAGATGTCAGACATTTAAAAAAATCTATTCTGAATGAAAGACGTGTCAGATAACTACTTGGTGAATATTTTCTTCTAGCCTATAACTTACCTATATATTTCCTCAATTATCTATTTTGATGAGCATAAGTTTTTAATTTTGATGAAGTTTAATTTATCAAAATTTTCTTTCATGTTTACTCACCTATGTCTTATGTATGAACCCTCTGCCTGCCCTCAGGTCACAAATATATTGTTCTTTTTTTTCTTTTTTTCTCCCCAGAAGGTCTATGATCAACCTTGAATTGTTTGTATATCCTGAAAGAAAGCCCCAACATGGGGCTTGAATTTACAACCCCAAGATTAAGAGTTGCATGCTCTACTGACTGAGCCAGGCAGGTACCCCAACCCTATTGGGGTACCTGCCTAGGGAGGCAGAGAGGCCTAAAGAATGTTCAGTTGTCATTAGTACAAACAAAGCAACATTAATTAAGGTTTAAGAGTGACACAAAAAGGAGGGTGAATTTGTAATCTGTATCTTCTGCCACTTCTGGTCTCTGAGTTTACATATTTGAATTCTTTTTTTTTTTATGTTCTAACCACCTGTTTATTTATCCCTCCACAGAACCACCCCCCAACACTGAGGAGTTTACTTGGTGTGGGTCAGAACCTGGGTCCTAGAATCTGAAATCTGAGGTTTCCTCCTCCTCTCATTCTGTGGCTTAAGTGGGTGCATAGTCCAGGCACAACAGGTGTCTCCTTTTGGGTACTGCAGAAGGGGGACAGAGGCACACCCATAAAGATGGCCACACCCAGGAGGGACTGGCAGGTAGGAAGATAGATTCTCCCAATAAAGGCACTTGTACTTCAATAAGAGGCTGGGAGTTGGCTGGGAGTGTTGTAAGGGCAGGGAGGAGTTATTCCGAAGGAAGTGTTATTTGCAGGATTTGGAGAGAAATGAAGGGAGTTCACCTACACCGCGCCATCTGCAGGGTCAGTAGGGGCTGCTGTATGTCTTTGCTGCCTCAAGGGGAAGGTGATGTAGGCATCATAGCCAAAGAGGCTTGTAACAAGTAGGCCCAGTACCCCTGCGATGATTTTGGAGTGGTTTCCTCCCTCAACAAGGACAACAATGGAGGTGATCAGGTAGAGGATGGCTGCTATGAGGGTTCGGAAGAAATCACTCCAAGGCCAGTTGATGAACTGTATCTTGGTGTGCAGGTCGCACATGTAGATGACAAAGAAGATAGCAGCAAGGATCATCTCGACCACTGACAGGGAGTATCCTGGTGTGGAGGCACTGAAGCAGATCAGAATCATCAGGCACAATATAATCTCAGCAAACAGGAGAATTCCCTTTCGGGTGCGTGAAAAGTTGGTGCAGGCGGCCCAGCAGCCGGGGGCCGAGAGACGCTCAGAATCCGCCATGGGGTGGGCCAGAGTCCCTAGGGGCGCAGAGTATCTACTCGCTTGCTCGCAGATTCCAAGACGCTGCACACCCAGCCGTCTTGCCCGCCGTCTGGCCGGGAAGGGGGCTACATATCTGAATTCTAAACACTAGGAGGAGATATTCTTACTGTCTTCGGTCTCTCTGTCTGGGTCTCAGATTCCTTTAAAGAGGAGATAGTTGTGAAACCTTATCAACTTTTTAGATCAAGGGATCATAAATGTCCCCAGCTCTCTGATTTTACTCTGTTTTCCAACCTTAATAGCTAAGTAATAGATGCAGTATTCCAGAAATTCTTATCCTTTGCAAAGAATTCCCAAAATAGGTGGCCATTTTTATTCTATTATTTTACATAGCCCACAGCAAACCTATGATTTTGTTCATTAGTATCCTAGGTACTGGAGAGTAAATGGCCAGGTAAAAACCAGAAGCAAATTAATAGATGTATTATTCTCTGACCAGAGTCCCAAGTTCATTCTGAGAGAAGACCTATTTTTCCCCATTCATAGTCCTAGTAAGCAGGACATGTAATGTCAGAGGGCTAAGGCATCTCATACTCAACTTTAGCTCTTCAAATATGAACTGTTATTTCCTCTACTACCATCTATGCTTACGATTATATTCTCTGAAGTTAGCCAATATGTCACTCTTCCTCCTCCCAAATTAACTTTATAAACTATAGGAAAGGGATTAATAAACACCAGACAATAGTGCTTATGGTAAAAATGAATCTTGGCTCTCTGCTCCTCCCTGTTCGACTGACAGACAGCCGCATCTTCTGGCGCAGTACCAGCCACGTCCCCGAGACACGATGGTGAAGGTTGGAGTGAACGGATTTGGTCGTCTTGGGCGCCTGGTCACCAGGGCTGCTTTTAACTCTGGCAAAGTGGATATTGTCGCCATCAATGACCCCTTCACTGACCTCAACTACATGGTCTACATGTTCCAGTATGATTCCACCCATGGCAAATTCCACAGCATAGTCAAGGCTGAGAACAGGAAGCTTGTCATCAATGGAAAGTCCATCTCCATCTTCCAGGAGCGAGATCCCACCAACATCAAATGGGGTGATGCTGGTGCTGAGTTATGTTGTGCAGTCCCCTGGGGTCTTCACCACCATGGAGAAGGCTGGGGCTCACTTGAAGGGCGGGGCCAAGAGGGTCATCATCTCTGCTTCTTCTGCTGATGCCTCCATGTTTGTGATGAGTGTGAACCATGAGAAGTATGACAACTCTCTCAAGATTGTCAGCAATGACTCCTGCACCAACTGCTTGGCTCCTCTGGCCAAGGTCATCCATGACAACTTCAGCATTGTGGAGGGACTCATGACCACCATCCATGCCATCACTGCCACCCAGAAGACCGTGGATGGCCCCTCTGGGAAGCTGTGGCACGATGGCCGAGGGGCTGCCCAGAACATCATCCCTGCTTCCACTGGCACTGCCAAAGCTGTGGGCAAGGTCATCCCTGAGCTGAATGGGAAGCTCACTGGCATGGCCTTCTGTGTCCCCACCTCCAACGTGTCCATCGTGGATTTGACCTGCTGCCTGGAGAAAGCGGCCAAATACAATGACATCAAGAAGGTGGTGAAGCAGGCATCAGAGGGCCCCCTCAAGGGGATCCTGGGGTACACTGAGGACCAGGTTGTCTCCTGCGACTTTTAACAGTGACACCCACTCCTCCACTTTCGATGCCGGGGCTGGCATTGCTCTCAATGACCACTTTGTCAAGCTCATTTCCTGGTATGACAATGAATTTGGCTACAGCAACCGGGTGGTGGACCTTATGGTCCACATGGTCTCCAAGGAGTAAGAGGCCCCTGGACCACCAGCCCCAGCGAGAGCAAGAGGAAGAGAGAGGCCCTCAGTTGCTGGGGAGTCCCTGACCCAACTTATCCCCCAAAACACTGAGAATCTCCCGACCTCCACCGTTTCCATCCCAGACCCCCTGAAGAAGGGGGAGGTGCTTGGGGAGCCCTACCTTGTCATGTACCATCAATAAAGTATACTGTACTCATCCAAAAAAAAAAAGAATCTTAATTTGTAAACCGCATCTGGATGGACTATATATCTGATGGAAGGCCACAGTTTTGGGCTTTTCTGATTGTGGACTCTTATAACTAGGCATTTCCATTACAGAGACCCTGGAAACTATACTTGTTAAACTGTTTCAAAAGATATCAGCTTTTGGGCAGCATGGATTCTAAACCTAGGAAACCCCTGTTTCTTTCTACCTATGTGGATCTCGCCTCCTTGTACCCAAGCTGTTATGTGGAGGTAGAGGTCAAAAAATAGCACCTGGGATGCTGTGAGGACTCCAGGGAAAAAAGAATGCTCTGCTGGCATGCTGCTGTGTTTCTGTGTTTCCAATATCCATCTAAGTGAATCTAATGCTTAGTTTGGCTTATGTGACCTGAGTAGGTCACATAAGTCTAAATGTCTGGTTGAACCTAAGTAGAATCCTTGGTTATCTTTGCAACAGCTTTAAGTATCCTGGTATCTTTCTGGTATTTCATAATGTCTGCGTTTCTCCAATGATGCTTTGCTATAAACTGCTTCAGTTGAACCTGACCTTCTGAGCTGTATTCAACAGGACATTGTTATTTATGGAGGAATCTTTTTCTTTTCTTGTTGATATGTATTCAGAAATTCAACAGGAATCCCAAAGATGGTCATATTGTCATATAGTGGTTCACACATTCTGAGGTTGCTGATTGTTTTAAAACCATATATGTTTTCTAATACTGGCTATAATAAACTTTCCCATTAATAGGCTTTGTTTCTCCATCTCCAAGGTCTATTATTCCCGCTATATTTCAGTGATTCTTCTAATTGTAATTCAAAATTTCCTTGCCCATTTACTGGTGCTACACCTCTTAGTAGAATGCACCTATACATAACAGTATCGATAAAAGGTTTCTGTTTAAGATCCAGTTCCAAAATATGTTTCCAGTTAACAGCGAATTTTGTCTCAGACAGAACAGGGTAGGGATTTTTGATCAATCCAAGTATAGATATCATGAATTTATATTTACCTTATAGCAAAGACTGCAATATCAGAAGATAATATTTGTTTTTTTTTAAAGATTTTATTTATTTATTTGAGACAGAGAGAAGGGGAGAGAGAGAAAGAGAGAGAGCACATGAGAGGGGGGAGGGTCAGAGGGAGAAGCAGACTCCCTGCCGAGCAGGGAGCCTGATGCGGGACTCGATCCAGGGACTCCAGGATCATGACCTGAGCCGAAGGCAGTTGCTTAACCAACTGAGCCACCCAGGCGCCCCAGAAGATAATATTTGTTAATTACTATTGCTCTAACAGCAATATTCCATAAGAAATCACTGCCTAAATGAATAGCCTCTAGGTATCAATCTAAGGTATCACAAAATAATTGTAACAGTCTGTTCCCCCAAGAAGTTTGCAGTTTAGTTGAGGAAATAGTATACCCATATAATTTTTATTGATATGTGTTGCATTTTATGCATTTACATTGCAGTATAAAGATATAATAGAGGCAAAATTTAAAATAATGATTCCTTCCTCCATAAACATCCTGTCAGCAATTTCAAAACTGCAAGGAAGAGCAAATATAAGCTGTATTTAAATTACTGCCACTTTAACTGGTAAATAAAAATACCCACCATACTTTATTTGTACCATGTTTATAAAATGCATTCATTTTATTTAGTCTTAACCTATTGCTTTAACATTACTGTTGTTGAATTTTAATATATTTTTAACAATCTTAAAACTACTTTACCAAAACATTTTTAGAGTGGTAGTGTTGGTGCTAAAAAAAATTCCTGAAAGATAATAAGTTTGGAATGGAATTTACATGTGCTAAAAAATGCAACTAAGGAAGCCAAACAACTGCCATAACATGCAGTTGGTGCTATTAATTTAAGTGACTGTATGCTGCAAATATAATAGAGAAAAAAAGTAACATCAAAGCAAAAATATGCTACAATGACTGTGGATTAACTTAAGAGCATGCATCTAATCACCACTGGCCCCACCTACCCTGCTCCCTCAACACACATTTTGCATTCATTACTTTTGGAAAACTAGTCTTGAATTATTTAAGGTTTGAATTATGTCTCCTCCAGATCACATGCCTTCCATAAAATGGGACCACTCTACCCTGAATAAATGAGTAAAGGTCAAATAAATGGAACAAGATAATAAGCCAGAGTGATCAGCATGGGCTATAACAGAAGATGGAAGTCCCTTCATTGATTTATGGCCTTTCAGTTAACACATCTTAAATTCTCAATATGTTCCAGACAATGTGCCAGAAGCTAGTGATGAAAAAATGATTAGAACATAGTCTATACCTTGAAGGAATTTCAGAAAATGGTGAAAAGAAATACATAAATAAATAATAACACAAAATAGTAAAATTCCAAAGAAATCTTGCATCATCACAAGTTGCATTAAAACAACTTCTTTGATTATAGTCAGAGAATTTTAGGCTATCTAAAAGAAAGTTATTCATCCTATAAGAATTTTAGAAAATAAGGTGTACATGTATGATTTAGGCAATAAAGGTTACTATGGTTGAAATATTTGTGTCCCCCCAAAATTCATATGTTGAAATCTTAATTCCCAGTGTGATGGTATTAGGAGGTGGGGCCTTTGGGAGAGGATTAGGTCATAAGGACAGAGCCCTCATGAATAAGATTAATGCCCTTCTAAAAGGGGCCCCAAAGAGATCCCTTGCCCCCTTCCATCACGTGAGGAATACAATGAGAAGTCTGTGACCCAGAAGAGGGCCCTCATCCAACTGTGATGGCACCTTGATCACAGACTTACAGCCTCCAAAACTGTGAGAAATAAATTTCTCTTATTTATAAGGTACCCATCTATGGTATTCTGTTGTAGCAGCCCAAACAGACGAAGATGAGGGTTTAGTTATAAAATTTAATTATTACTGAATATTTTCATTATATCTATCAAAAATAATGCCCTTTCTTTTCCTTTCAATACCAGCATAAAGCTTCTGACATATTGTGATCACCTTTTTTTTTTCCCATGGCTGTGATCAAAACAGTACAACACTGCTCAAAACAGCTATGAAAATAAGTGGGTTTTTAAAATTCCTACTTATGGTACTAGTGTCTAATTGAGATTTAGTTTTAACAAAAAGCCTACAAAGAACAAACCATATTCTCCAACTAAAAGATCAAAATATATCCCTCTGCCGTTATAAACACTCATGCTGTAAGAAAATGCCTGCATTTGTAAATAGTACAATAGTGGCACAGGGTTTGGAATGGTCAAGCTTAAGTGGGCATGAAAGGTTTCTGAGAGTGTGTGTCAATAAAATTAAAATTTGAAACATAGGTAAAAAGTCACTGGTGGTGGTAGAGGAAGGTTACTAACTTATCCTTCCTGAAGTACTTCAGCTAGCCAAATAAAACAAAGAACTCAAAGACAGGTGAGACATGGCATTTTTAAAAAGTACTTTATAGTTGTTGCTGACATCAGTTATAAACATAATACAGATGTCTGCATATATTACGGAAAAAAATCCCAAAATATTATTGAAATAAAAATAATAGCCAGGAAAGGCTAGAGGGAGGGGTTTATTTTTATTTTATTTTACTTTATTTTATTTTTAATTTTTTTAAGATTTTATTTATTTATTTGACAGAAAGAGAGATAGTGAGAGCAGGAACACAAGCAGGGGAAGTGGGAGAGGGAGAAGCAGGCTTCCCGCGGAGCAGGGAGCCCAATGCAGGGCTCGATCCCAGGACCCTGGGATCATGACCTGAGCCGAAGGCAGTCACTGAATGACTGAGCCACCCAGGTGCCCCGAGGGAGGGGTTTAAATAAGGAGAAAATAATATTGAATCTCTCATCTTACATGAGGTAAGTCAACACATTCTGTTTCATTCATTTATTTATTTTTTAAAGGCTTTATTTTTAAGTAATCTCTACATGCAACATGGGGCTCTAACTCATAACCCCGAGATCAAGAGTAACACGCGCTACTAAATGAGCCAACCAGGTACCCCTGTTTTATTTTTAATGTTAGTAGAGAAATATAGGTTCATTTATTTATTCATCTGGCTTGTT